CAACAAACCCAAAAATTAGAAGCTATCACCACAAAATGTTGTTTTCAAGAAAGGGAAAGAGTTCAATGCAAGTTCACCAACCACCACTTAATAATGATCCTCACACCCATGACGAGATTTATTCACATGGCTGCTAAGAAAAGCCCACAACGTATTCAATATATAATGACACATTTATTCAAAATTACAAGCTCTCTAGCACAATCAGAAGCAGCATAGCTTACAATAAAATGTAGTGTTGGGTTATACATTCCAGTCAATCAGTGATTGCTTTGAAGTACTTTTCACTTTTCCCATTAACTATTCAATCATACTCGTATAAGCTCTGTACTGAGAGATTTCATTCTAAACCATAGAACATTTTCTACAAATACAACCCATCACATCATATTGCTTTGTTCATGGTCAACATTATTACTTTTACTATCATATCAATGGACCATAATGTCATACATTATTTATGGAACAATTGTTTTATTAAACCATTAATTGGTAAAACATGTCTGTTACTCATAGCCCAACATTCATGGAGATAAAAGGACTTATTTCAGTATCGCAGTAATCCAGCTCAGTGAATTACAACAAGAATGGTAATGGCAAGTTTTCTATTTGCATGAAAAAAAAAATTACAAATCATTTAAATATTTGAAATTTTAAAAAATTGGACTGGAGAGATCTGACATTACATGCAGCATTAATGTGTAGAGTACGGTAATACAAAATAAATGAAACTTGACACTGAGAGGTTGTTTTCTTTTATAGCATAAAAACAAATGAGCTGCGCATGCTCCATTTTAAATAGTGCAAGGTGTAAATAATATTAATAGTAAATTACATATAGAAAATAAAAACAGCAATTTCTTTAAACTATTCTATATATTATATTAGCACTTAAAGAGAATACACATATGTGTTTTGATGTGTTGTCAAAGGTTACCACAAGCAGACGACAAACAAATATAAAACTGTGCTCATTTCCACCACAACAATATATTGTAGTTTTTTTTATGTAGGTGTCAGTTTCTTGAACTGAATATACATCTTTGACTCTTATATTGCAATTCTAGTTACTGACAAAAATTGGTCATAAAAATTTTACAACACTGAAATTTCTCAAAACTAAGTGTACATTCACATTTTTGGGCATGCCTATTTTGCAAGATTGTTGCAGTGTGTAACAAGCCTACATAATGTTCATGCAAATAACTGAACAAGAAGTGTTTTTTGTGCAGTTACTATGATTTGGTGTTTCTATAGCAATTTTGTTGTTGTTGGATTTACAATGGAATATTTCCATGTTTTTTCCATGGATTTGTTATGTTCTTTGTGGAAAGCATGTCCAGATCCCGACAGATCCTCATTCTAGTGGTTCTTGGGTCGATGATGTCATCCACAAAACCTGGAATAAAGGGATAATCAAAAAGAGTGAGTGCCTGTTTTAATCAATGATATGAACATTCCGAAAGGTCTGTGAAATCAGATTCATAGTAGGAAAGCAATGCAGAAAAAACTCAAAATTAAGCTGTTGTCTTTAATTGACATTTTTTTGCAGTGCTCAAAGTTAGTACATGTCCCAAGCCAGCGCACACAATAACTTCAAGCATATGTTAGGACATACTGTAGCTGTATAAATATTCACTAGGTTAAATATAAGCAGATTTGATATTGCCAAGATATTCACATGGTTTTCAAATCACTCATTTTACAATAATATGTCATAGATTGCTATATCATTTGCACCGGCCTCGTTATTTTTGCTGGTACAAATGACCATTGTTAAGTAACATCGGCGGAAAAACATTTTACAGTCCATAAGCAGTCAAAACCATATTATTCAGTAATACAATTTTATCTGGATAATGTATCCTTTCGAAAAGAAACTAAAAACATACAGTATTATATATATTACCAATATATTTTTAGCAGCCAGAACTATTATCACTATGCCAATTGAAAACTGTAAATGGCATTTATGACAAGTGACTAAGAGGTTTATATTTTATGTTCCAGCTGGCATTCTGTGGTCAACTGTGGAAAAGTAATCAAACAGAAAGCACAGCAGTTTGCAGACGTACCAGTATAGTACTGAACAATGCAAACTTCCTGTATTTCTCACACTGCATATATAGATCATGAAACCATGTGTTGTTTTACTTATAATCTTGGCTAATTGACCCATCCAAATACCAAGATGTAAATGCAAAGAGGTATCACAGAGATTGTTTTATGGTGATAAATTCACTTTTCACAGAATGTATGAATGATGTAAAAATCATTTACTTCTAATGATTTTTTTGTCCAGTTATTTTTCATCATATCAGCGTGACTGCAAAGTTTTAAATTTGTATCAAATTTGAGGTTTTTGCATTTGTGTCACTGAATATTTATGCACACGCTTATCCTTGTTCTGTTATTTTAAGCAATAACAAATCCACAGTGCCATATTGGATCAGGGTTCTCCCTAATAAAAATACATAGGGCTGTAACTAATTTGCATAATAATTTGAATACCATTTACATATAGTTTACATGAAGAAAGGGTCTACGGCAAGATAGAAATAGATCTGAGCAAACTTCTTGCATAGTTGAGATCACAAATAACCAGTGACGCACACTGGAAGACAGACATTTCGCCAACTATGCCCTAAACTTTTGTTTACAGGCAAGGCAAAAATGCTGTTTCTCAACAATAACAGGAATTCATAAGACGCATTTTTTTTACCTCGCACAGCAGCAGGAAATGGATTGGCAAACTTCTCGATGTATTCTTTCTCAGCTTCAGCTGCGGACTGGCCTCTGAAGATAATTTTGACAGCCCCCTTAGCACCCATCACAGCCACTTCAGCCGTGGGCCATGCGTAATTGATGTCTCCTCGCAGATGTTTTGAACTCATGACATCATAGGCCCCACCATAAGCCTGTTGTGATAATGAAATAATTCAGCTACAAATGACATCGCACAGCATGGACCTTCTAACCAGACAGTCAACACATTGTAAACATGAACGATAATGTACCAAACTGCATGAGGTAATACTTTTCAGTGAATTACTTTTCATTTTT